AGTGCATTACAAAGACAGGACAACATTGGTATTAAAACAGTTTGATTAAAATAGAGTAAATAAAATTAATAAAAAGAATGCTTTTAAAAAATGCTACTTCAATTCAATCAACAAAATTAAATTAATTAAAAATAGACAGTGTAGGAAACCGGAAGTAAATAATATTGTTTTCAGTCCTGACAGACACATGTCAACACAACAGGGTGTGACAACTATTTAGGGTTAGACTATTCACTTGTAGACTAGTAGCCAATGGAGTGATTTTTATACAGTATTATCTTGGAGTGCACAAACAGCTGACCGAGAAAGGATTAGAACTTGAATCTCTGATGACAATCTTGATTCTGTTACCAATATTCTCCGGTCTGTCGTAGTGAAGCCACATTTGCAATTTACGAACTACAACTACATTTACAAACTATGATTTGTAAGTCATAGTTTATAATACATTAGTTTGGAAGTAATAAAAATAAAAAAGCATACTTTCCAAGACTAGATTCCTCAAATAGGCAATTTAGTCTATTCTACTCTGTTGTACTTTTTGTTTACTCTGCATTGGTAAATTCTATTTTTTAGACTCTTAACAAGCCCCAGTATTGCTGCATATCACATTCCACTTAGTTTTTTTTCTCAAAGCTAAAATTTCTTCTGTCCAAAGACAGGGTCCAGTTTCCCAGATTTTCATTAAGTGTGAATATCAGGTACTTATGTAGCCTGTAAATACTGATTATAAAATGTATTTATACCAAAAGAGAAAAACATAAAGTATTAATTTTTTTCTGTGTAGTATTTACTCACAGGTAGTAACATTTTGTCAGTTTAGTTATGAAATACAATGCAAAAGAAAAGGAAACAGATTTAGCTCCCATTTAGCACTTCCCATGGTCTCCTGCAAAAAAAAAACCTACAAAGGCAGGTGATTGAGAACAGAAGGCATGATAAGAAGAAAATAATCCTGGCACGGTGGGTGAGCTACATAGAAGGCTCCAGTGAAGAAGGTTTCTGGACTATTTAGAACAGCCAGTGATAAATGACCAGCTCTCCTTGCTGTTTGATTACTTTGTGAACAGCACATTAGTATTGTGTACAGTAGAGCCTTGTGAGGATGTCAGAAATGCTGCTGGAACATCTACTCCGTCTCACAATTCTTGCTGGCTCATAATTTTACAAATGGCTGTGCAGTGTTTGGGCATCTGATAAGACTTCATACTCATAAATCTGTGTCTTCTTCTGTCAGAGGCCTCTGCAGGGTATTCTACAGCAGACACATCTTTTTTGCTGCAGTCACCGTAGAAAGATCCAAGCAAGTGGAGATGAAAGGTTGACTCAAACTTTGAATTGAATTGCAGAGTAAACTGGTCAAATTGTTCTTGTTTAGAAACATGTCATGTACTACTGTTTTTTTCTATGTTAAGGAAAAAGTAGGTGTTTCAAAATACATGAGCACCATCAAAAACACCTGAACCTTATTCATTTCATATACATTAATATTTTTACTGTAAATGTTTTATTTATCATATTTGATCAGCTTTGATTACAAATGTTCATATTAAAAAGCCTGTGTTTGTAAATACATGGCTTTGATTGGCTACTGTGATCTTGAGGTAATACAGTCAGAATGTTGCCATTATTAGAATTATACAAAATTCCCCTTTCACACTATACATGAGTCGTTTCATGTTTCTTTTCTATCCTGTATATTTAAAGAATGAAAAATGAAATTCTTTGGAATTCACTGCTGGCTGTAGATCTTGAATTCAGCACCACGGACAGCTCCACAGCCACCAGGACTGTATTTTATCCTGGTGACTGTTCATTGTGTGTGAGACAAAGAGGCTTATAGATTTGCTTATAGATGGATAACACAAGTTGTTGTGCCAGGTTGACTGGCAGAGGTCAACAGGTGAAAGCTGAGTTTAACTCATGAAATGTTCTTGTAGGCATTTGTCTGTGCAACCTTTAAATGTAAGTGACCTCAGTGGAGAGGAGGATCAGAGAGGAGGAGCCAGAGGAGTTAGCTCTATTGACTAACAGTAACAACACTGGTTTGCAGATTTCCTTCCAATCTTTCTGCATGTTCTCCTGATAAAGATGTGAGTGGTTTGTTTCTATAGGTGACACTGTCATGGACGAGTGAACTGTCCAGGTGTACTCCCTCGCTCCAGCCTCTCCCTCAACCCTCATTAGAATGAAGTGGTACAAGATGAATGAATTTAGGACTTATGATGAACTGTAGCAGCTAAAAAATAGACAAAAGGGGGGAAACCTCTGAGTAGCTTCATGTACACAGAGAAGAATGACATGCAGATTGCTGGTGATAGGGTGACAGAGGCAGATGATGTGCAGAGATTGGACATTTTTTACATCACAGTGTATCCATAAAGTAGCCGATGTTTGCCCATGTGATTTATTTGTAAATGTCATATTGTATTCTATACATTTTGAGAAGCTGACAGGGAGGTGAAGGATCTAAGATTAGAAGTCTTTGTGATGACAGAGACCGATCACCAGCTCAATAAAAGATGGCTGGATTTGAGTGATGCTCTATTCGATCGGTGTTGTGATATACCTTCTCGAAAATGTGTCGTTAGCTATTTATTTGCACACATTATTGGTCAAAATGATGTTTGAATAGCCAAACACTATAAATGAAACCCTTCCTGATAATGAGTGTAATGTGTCTGTGCATTCGCAGTGCTCACGGCCTTACAATCCTTTATTTTCCCCGTCTGACAGGAAAAGTCCAGAGCAAAGATAAACCCTGTCTGTTCTGTTACCTTTCTCGCCTCCATCTTGTAGAGAGTAAAGTTCCCTTGATGCTCTGTGTCTGTGTGTTTGATTACATTCATCCTGTGATGAAGCTGAGCGCCAGTCTGTGCTGTAATCTAAGCCATTCATCAACGTCAGCCTTAATAGAGGCAGAGAGGAAGGAGAGAGTGTGAGCGTAAACCTCCTGTGACTGCTTATACGTCTGCTGAAAAAATCTCACCTTGTCTGACTATATGCTTCCTCTCAGGAAGACCATTTTGTGTAATGTGTGAGCAGGGACATGTACTCCACTTTAGAGGGTGTCTGAAGAATGTAGTTAAAGGGGAGTCTTCTTTAAAGGGAAAGAATGCTGTGTGTGTACGTGTGTGTACCGGCATCCAAAAGAAAGAAGTTGACTCGTTTATCTGGACTGTCAGCTCACCCCATGAGGGTCTTGCTCACATGGCAGTTACCTGCAGGGCCAAGAAGGAAGACAAAGAAGAAAGGAAGGAAAAGAATAAGAGTGAGGGATAAAGGAGGAGCAGGAAAGGAGGAAGGAGAGTAAGGTCTTTGGTTTAAGGGAATTTCACTGCACCCTGCCAGACACGGAAGCTCTGTTCCAGCTGTCCTGTCTACATCACACACACACATACACTTCCTGTTGTTGCTGTGTGCCTCCAGCGTTGGACACAAAGGCTTTTCTCAGCTCTGGGTTTTAACAGGGTGGAGATAATTGGAAACTCTTTTGGCTTTATTGCTGCAGCAGTGCTGTGCTTCAAGTCGAGCCAAATCAGATTGCAACATTAACTTTTTTTTTCTATTTTTTTTCTTTTCAGATTTACACACCTGTAATCAGGTGAACATATCATTTGTAGAAAAGTCTTATTTATATTGCATTCATTATTTCACATTTAAGGATCCACACAGTGCGGCTGTGCCATGTATTTTACTCTGATGAATGGTGAGTCTTTACATGGCTCATTCAGTGCCAGTGACACAGTGTATATGTCGCCTGGGAGGCAAAAACTAAGAAAGTGCTTGCTGCAGCACAAGCTTCTGCATCATTAGGCTTTATGGCCCTGTTTCTTGACTCTTATTAACAGTTATGAAGACCTCCTCTTGCATTTACATTTTTTACTGTTTTGTTATTCCCTCATATATTTTCTTGCTTTATCAGTCTACCTTAATAAATCAGAAGAGTTTGCCAGGGGGCAGCAGCTGTGTGTATCTGACCTCATTAAACGTATGTTAGTTTAGTTTTTCTTTATTTTACTTGTTGACCTTTTTGAAGACAAGACAATTTGAGAGAAGTCTGCAGATGTTTTTGGTTGACTAAGGACTAAAGAGATTTTTTTTGCCTTCACTGCTACAGCCTGCTGGGGTGCTGGGGTTTAGCCCACTGTGTGCCTGTCAATTTCTGGCTCTCTACTTGTGTCGGCCAAGGAGAGGATACTCCAGGGTGCTTTAAAGAGGGTAGTAAGATTAGATGCTGAGTGCAGATATCTCTCTCTCTCTGCCTGTCCCAGGAGAATGGGCTGGAGGAGGCAGAGCAGGAAGAGGAAGGAAGAAAAGATGCTCACTGTTATACTTAATACCAGCCTGGCCCCTTCATTCTGCTTAATCAAGTATCTCCTCTTCACCATTCTCAGCTGGAACTGTTAATTTGTCAAGCTTTTTTAAATAAACACAGATGTGGTCACACCTGACGAGCAGAAAAGAGGAGTTCTACGTATTCTATATACAATATATCTGAAATACCGACGACTGTTATAAACCAGTGGCGCTTTGGCCCAGAGGCAATGTCTCTGTTATTGGTGTGGAAGGTCTCCTGGGCAAGGTCAAATCCCACTTAGGGTGGTTGGTACCTTCCAGTGGACTCACCACCTGCAGGAAGGTTTAGGGGGGTTGGTATGGTGCAGTGTGATTTGGGTGGCGACTGCCGCCCCCGCGACCCGGTAACGGATAAGTGGATGACAATGGATGGATGGATGGATGGATGTTATAAACCAAGAAAAGTCATCTAGTCTTGCATATTGAGGCATTTCGG